ACGCCTCTTTTACTTTTAATCAAAGCTGATAATAGTTTGTTTGACTGAGTTTTAGTTAATACTCTATAGTAATGATTTGTTTATGTTTAAGGACAAGAAAGAAGAGGCCAAAGGCGAGGAGAAAAAGGGAGAAGGAAACCCAGAAATTCTACTCAAAGTTGATATGCACTGCGAAGCTTGTGCCAGAAAGGTTGCAAGAACTCTCAGAGGATTTGAAGGTGACACATATATGTGCATTAGCCTTTTGCATTCTCGGAGATCTTAAGGTTCATTTTGACGACAGGGGTGGAGGATGTTGCCACCCCACAGATAGCAAGGCAAATAAGGTGGTGGTGAAGGGGAAGACGGCAAATCCCACCAAGTTTTACGAAAGGCTACTAAAGAAATACGGTAGAAAAGTGGAGTTAGTTTCGCCGTTGCCGAAGCCGCCGCCACCGGAGGAAGAGAAGAAGGAACCCGAAACCAAGGAAGAGAAAAAAGAGGAGGTAACAAAGATTAAGATTTGAAAGATCAAAACTAAATTTCCTATGTTAAAATAGATTAATAAACTTCAACTAAAGGATTAAACTGAAGGGAACTAAAAATAAAATTATACCATTTGATAGACGAATGAAAAAGCCATTAAATGTTGAGCCCCTACATATTTTTTGAATTAGCAATAGTTATCCTCTGCTGTGAAAATGGTGTGCTGACATTGAAAGTTACAAAACAAGTTGGGTCTTGACCACAATAGCCCTCTGGCACATATCACAAGGGTGAACGTTTGATGGATCGAGTCAAAATTTTCGAATTATTTGGTTAATGATTCATGTTTTATAAATTAGATATGATTTAAATTTTTTGAGTAAAATTAAATTTTTGAGTTTTTATTTAAATGTAATTATAAATATTTATAATATTCTGAAATTATTTAATTTTAATTAAAATGATATTTTATAATTATATACAATATATATATATATATTTTGTATTTTTTCATATGTGACGTGATTTAAATATGCTATATAAAGTCGATAAACTATACTCAAACTTCGACTTAGACTCTAGGTTTTGTTTTATTTGTAGACAATTACTAGTAGTTTAAGTATAGTTATTTTTACTCTATGATTTCTGATATCAGTTTTGAAATGTATTAGCATGTTTATTTCTGTATTTATTGGAACACACTGAGCTCCCTCGCTCACTCCTCCTTTGTTTCCCCTTTTAGATATTTTGGATAGGCTTTTAGACCAGGCAATTAGAGGATCGACACATTTCGTACAATAATTTTTGTAGTAATATTTTTTTCTTTCAAACTGTCTTATTTTGATGACAGATGCCTATGTTTTGACACACCGGTTTATGGTTTATTTCATATCACTCTGATGTATAGATTATTTTGTCACTGTTTACCAGCATTTTTTTCCACTTGTAATATTACATGCTTTATGTTACTCAATTTGAGTTTTACTATTACCAGTATGTGTTTGAAGAGGTGTTGAGTTTTAAAGTGTCGAAATGTTTTGAGAAGTTGTATTGTGATTTGCTATATCTGGTCATACCGTACAAGTTGGGTCTAGGGGTTACAATGGGCCTCATTTTAATATTTCACTAAATTAGAATGAATTTTTTTATTTTCAAAAAATAAAACATATTTGATTTTATTATATTTAAGAAATATATGTGTATGAACATATTTATGTAATAAGATATACCTATAAAAAATAATCCAAAAAATAATTATAGATGATCACTATATAAAGTTTTTTTAATTAATCAATAGTATCCGATCTATTGATCGATTAATCCAGATCGAGTACTGCAAAGGCGAGGGAGACCCTCCCAACCCAATTTATTCTATTCACAAATGTCAAAGTTCAAACCTCTGACGTTACTTAAGGAATGTAGTGTCTCATCTTACTATATCTTTTATATCAACTGGTTGTTGGTGAAGTTATTATATGTAACTTATAATTTTAAAATCTTTAAAGAAATATATATATTATCATTTTTAAAAGATTAAGTCTAAAGACAATCGCACAATTTTATGTTAGAAGTATAAACTTTTAAGATGACTAAAAATTTTAGGGTGCAAGATTACAAATTTTCATATGTGCAAAATTATATCCTAATAAAAAATACAAAAAAAAAAAACTAAAATAATGAGAATTTAAAATTTTCAAGAATGTGATTGCCCTCAAGATCCTTTCATAAGTCTTTTACTAAGTCTCTATTTATCTTAATTTCTTCTCAATAATATAATTTAATTTTAATAATGTATTATCACTATATTCAATAACAATAAATTAAATCGTAATCAACACATTAAATGCACTCCTTATTTATGAATATCTAAAATCTTGATTGAATCTCGTAATAAATAAAATAAGATTGCTTTTATTTTTATGTTGAGATGTACAAAATAAAATAATAAAAACAGAAAAACAAATGATCCATTTCTATGCCTTGTTTTAAATATTGCTTCCATTTACGGTTTTAAGACAAAGTCGTCGTGACCTTCCACCTGATAGTGTTCCTTTAACGTCCAAATTTCTTTAATCCTCAACAACAACAACGCAACTTGAACGAAAATTTAAAAAAACTAGGATCAAACGATTTCTTAGTTTAGGGTCCGAGGCAACCCAACTCGTGATTAACAATATTACGTTATGACCCAAGACACTGTTACCGGTAGGGCTGGGTAAGAAAAATCGATATGAACTATAATGTTTAAACAGTTTTTTTTATTTACGAGCTAATAAAAGATTATGATTATTGGAAGAGAAAGAAATTCCGGACGTGAGCTGAATCATCAACATGTTTGGGTTATATATTCTGAGATAAATGACCAGGTTTTGGGGGTTAAACAAACAACAGAAGCAGGGAAGAATTGAAACCTGAAATGGGCCATAAACGAAGTTGTAAATGGAGCTGGCAAGCTTCACAAAGAACAGAGCCAGTGACGAGAACGGTGGATAGCTTCTCCTCGCCGTATCCAGTCATGTGCACCATCTCATCTCTTCTCGACAACTCTTATAATATCGGCTTCCTAATGGCCGTCTCTTCCAGCTCCGCCATTATTAATGAACTCTGCTGAAAGAATAGCGAAAATGTTTCTCATCGTCTCGTTTACTTTTGGATTTGATCACCCTACGTTTGTATATTGCTTAATCAGCTCAGGGACAAATGGAGATCAATAGAGAGAAAGACCCATCAGCAGCCGCTTTTTATTACGTAAAACAAATAATAATATTTAAGGGTCAATCGTTTCAATTTTTTACGATCCCTGCCCGTATTGTTGACCTACAACTCTTATATTCAAATTCAAATTACCATAATTGAACCGATGATTAATTAATTGTTATTATATGATACCTATTAAGCATATCGTATTAATATTATATGTGCATTATAGTTTTTATAACCATTTACGATGTCGATGCTTTCAAAACATACTAGTCCAATATTCACGAGATATTAATAATGCAATTGTAAAATGATGATATCATTTAGAAGGGTGATTTTGGTAATGTGTATGAAAGATGTAGGCAAAAGGGTCAGAGTGAGAGACGTACGTGTTGGATTTGGAGGAAAATGGTTTACATGGGCAGAGCAGATCAACTGTGAATTTGGTGAGAGCCGGGGGACGTTTAATTGTTGGCTGTGCCTACTCCTATCCTATAATATTGGTCTAAATATGTGTTTAACCCCTCTTCTATGTCAAAATTTGAGATCTAATACCTTTATTTTTATAATGTTCAAACTGAAAACGCCAAATAGTTATTTCCTATTAAAGTGACATCATGGCAAAAATTAATGATGTTATCAATTTAGATCCACTAATATATATATAAGTATGAATTGTGTGAAACTTTTGAATTAACTAAAATAGCCTTTGCTTTTCAACATATTACTAATATTTGCATTAAACTCAACAATATGATCCCACTAGTTTTACATGTACATTTTAAATTTAACGTTATAAAAAAATAATTCAATATTTTTTAAATTCATTTAATGACTACCGTACGGCTTAGGACCTAAATTTCATTTATTTTAGAGTATAGGGATTATATATATCAAATTAGAGATCAATGACAAAATCCATAACTCACAGATAGTACGAGTACTAATGACAAAATTTGACAAAAAATATATGTAAACACAAAAGGAGGCTTGGGCGGGAAGAACAAGTTCCCAACGCTTGTTGGTCCCCACTCCCCAGCAATCAGCCATCTACATTTTGCTCTTTGAAGCAAAACTTACGGGGCTTTAATTAATTTCTTACTTTGCGGACTGCTAATTTATTATTAATTATATATAAGTCAGGAATTGGGGACAGGACAGGCAAAAATCGTGAAAGTTGGTAAGGTGAAGTATGAAGATGGAGTTCGTAACCTGACATTTTATCTGCAAAAGAGAAAGATGGCTTTTCATTTTTGAAACATACCCCAAACCCCAATTAGAGCTTTACTTTCATATTCTAAATCTTTAAGTTTCGTATTACGAGTTTTGATTAATCTAATCATTTATGTACCCGTATCATGTGGGAAAATTATAAGAATATATGAAGTGTTTGAAAATTGGAGTGTTCAATTGTTGATCGATTAACTGTATCATTTAGCCTTAATGGTTAATTCACTGTTATAACGATTATTAATTTTTGTTAAGTATAGTCTAATTATTAATGTTCAGAGTAACATATGCTATTACATTTTTATTCAAACATAACACAACTTAAATTTTTCAAAATTCATAAAATTTACGACGATACAAACATATATATTTGTAAAAATCTAATTTATTTGTAAAAAACATATTTATTTATTCTAATAGATTGATTGAAAGTGAAACGCTGTAGAAAACATGTTTTTTTAGCTTTGCTTGTGAGACACATAAGAGACATGCCTCACTTGCAACAAGGTCACAACAACCGACATGTACCCGAGTATCTCGACTTTGTAAACATGCTTAACTTTTGATCGAATTCGATAAAATAGAGAATAAAATATCCAAATCTAAAACTTTGAATGAATCATTCATTTAAATATGGAGCAGAAGGAAAGAATCTTGATACAATGCTGGCATGAAGATAGCAGCATATGTGCTTGATAATTAAAAAAAAAAATATTTATGAATTTCAGCAGTTGAATCCGTACGCCATGTATAATTTTAGGTGCCATAGACCAGGAATCACTATCCTTCGAGGTCACGAGTGTTGAAGTACATATAGTTATTTTCATCCGAGAATGCCGACGAGGTAGGCACCGGAGAAAAACCGGAATACTTTCCATCTTTCTTTGCCAAACATATGTCAACACTGTATTTCAAGAGCTCGTGTTTCTGGACGAATGGCTGTGATGCATATTCTTTGAAAGGCATCCACTGCATAAAAAAGAAACATGAGAGGTTTCATCAAGTCTAGACTGTTTTCTTGGATAATCAATCGGATTTTTCTAAAACATCTCGACAGTTTTTTATGTTGCTGCAGAATGACATATACTTGGAACCATAAAAACAAACCTTGGCTGCCTCAATCTCTGTTTCCTGAATTTGAATTTCAGACGAAAGTGGTTCCAGCAGGCATAGGAAGAATATATCCGACTTATCAAAGAATGCTTTGTGACTTTGTCTGTAAATAATGGAAGAAAAGGGACAGAAACAATAATCGATGATCAGCTGGTCACCGAGAAAACAGATCAATTTGTTTGTGGCCTCTATCAGGATTTGCGATGAAAACCCAACTGTGTGTAGAAAGTGCATATTGTGCTCCTTAAGATAGCTAATACACACACATGAAAGATGATTTATCTAGCGGCCTTGCTGAAGCATTCATGGCATACACAAGTATGATTTAGAAAGGTCGATTTCAATGTAAACTGGAAGAGCACATGCGCTTGCGTTTCGTTATAGTATCAATGCTAATAAAGATTTCATACCTGAATGCTAGTACTTCGATAAATTTTGTATCAACCTGAGTCAACAAAAGGACTGAAAATTCAAATCATTGATAAAGTGCAATAACTTGTCATATATATGTATGTATCGAATAACTGTTACTCACTGCCGTCTCTTCTTTTACTTCTCGAACTGCAGCTGTGCAGATATCTTCTCCCTGGAAATAAAATAGTTCAGGAAGGGGAAAATATAAACGTCAGGGTATTATATCTCTAGAGTCCCCCGGTACACATACCTCATCCACAACTCCTGTAGGGAACTTCCATAAACCTGTACCCCGAAATCGCCCTCTGTTCTCTTGAACCACTAAAACCTATGATCCAGATATGCAAACCACAAATTTGGAATTCATAATCATGTTTCAAGTTAAGTAGCTGTACGGATAATACAGTTTTATCTTGATAAGCACTTATTAGAGAGAGAGAGAGAGTGAATGAGTGAGTTAGCATTCAGGAAATAATTAGTAGTAGTTGCTGCTTTAAGATTAGTTACTGAAGTGGTAATGGATATCATATAGTACAGAAATAAAAAAGGTCGGGGTGGGGGAGAATCCAGCCACTAATCCTTGAGAAACTAAAGGTTTCAAGGAGAGTTTTGGGGGTGACTTTTCCACTCTTTTCAACACGTATTATACACGGAATATAGCAGGCTGATTTGAGCATATAAAAAAACCATTTTCAACAAGGGGATCATCCTGATCCGTACAAAATCCCACATCTAAAATTGTGCATATTCAACCGAGGGCAGGTCATGGGCAATGCAGTATGGTGTTACCAAATGTAGAAGCTAGAAACTGCTAAAATGAGTTGAGGAACTACGAAGATCCTTGAATCAAGAAAAAAGACAGAAAATCAATTGAACCATACAAATAATGTTATAGTCCTACAAAATTGTAAATCCATGTATAATTTATTACCATCTAAAAGGGTGAAAAACAAGAGTTCTGATATTATTTTGTTCCTAAGGCAAGATTAGCACAATTCTGGAGCACACTGCTTCAATAAGTTAATGTTTGTCCTTCCGAAGCAGTGTTGGTGTTCATAGAGAAGCAAAAACGAAGATCATTGGCATTAAAAATAATCATGCAATTAAAACTATGTCTAATCATAGAAGGTCTTTCATTCCGGTATAAACGAGTACAAGTTAAAATCATCCATAATGAAATATCTTATGCTGATTGGCTATCGATAGAATTTATAAATAAAACCACAAGGAATTGGGAATTCACCTCTCTCTTTTCATTCATGACAAATGCACCAATACACACCCGGTGTGAAGCATTTGCAGGAAGAGTATGTGTACCTTCAGGAATCCAATAACAAAGCATCAAGTAATTCGGCTCAGCATGGTGATACCAAAATCCTTCCTGTGCATCAATACAGTAGTAACATAAGATATGACTGAAAGAAATAATAGAAGCGGCAGCTATCAATACCAAAATGGCTTTCTAGAAACCAGTTCGATTAGGTTGTAAATGACATAAATCACCTTGACAGCAGGGTCAACAAGATTGGCATGCTGAATAGGCAATTTGATCCACACACCCTTTTTCCCCTGCAAAACATGTTCTTACATGATTCACATAGAAACTTAGAACGGAATAAGAGATATGGAACTATTGTGAAATGCCTAGAAAGCAGAAACTCTCAAGTTGTAGAATGATCTACACTGGCTGTAAACCAGGAAATTCCGTAGAAAGCGAATATCAAAACATAAAACCCGTATAAAGCAGATATCAAAACAATGAAGGAAAGGACCAAAGTGCTAAGGCACCGGCAATGAACAAAAACAGTAATGTCTTTTTAAAAACACTTTTTTTTTCACAGCGACACCAAACAGTCAAATTTTAAACCAAATAATCCAAAAATACTTTTCAAAAGCAGTCTTCAAAAACATTTTTCAGCAGCACATCTCTAAAGCAATGCCAAAGTAAGAAGAAAACCTGTTGTCGCCACCGTGCTATTGAAGCTCTAAGCATTGAAGTAAAGAGGGTAGACTCCAAGGGCTCTGTAACTTCTACAACCACTCCTCCATACCTATCATTGATTGCATCAAGTAATTTATAATCTTGCAGTACTTGTTCATTCATAGGCGTTGAATTCGTTGATGCTGACATGACTCTGAATCTGCTTCTAAACACAGATGCAACAAATCAAAACATATTCCAAACTGAAAAGCCATACACTATTAAATCTAAAGAAACTAGTACTTAGAAAGAAAAACCCAGAACTTTTAATCGTTTTCCTTATTCTTACAGGGGGAAAAAGGTTATAAACTTGATTAAAGTTTTCATTTTGGGTACATACATGTGGAAGATGAAGGCAGCTGAAGTGAAGTGCAAGATGCCAAATTTGGGGGAAAACCAAATCCGAACAAAGACCACAGATTTCTGGTTGTGATTGAGAAGCCAAGCCTTTTCAACATTTTGATTCAATTATTTATTCATTTATTGTTATATATACTGTCATTTCAGTAATAATATAATCAAATAAGATACTATTAATAGCATGTTTATTTTGGTTTCATACTGGTGGAGTTAAGCATGGCTATCGGCGATTAGTTGGCGATTGGCAAAGCAAGCAACAAGGTGCCGGCACAGCAATGGGCAGGCAAAAACGACACTATGGATGTAGCCAAATCAACTATCGTTTCTGGGAATTTCATGTTTTATTGGAACGGGAAGGGGAGCTGAGCTGAAAGCTCAGAGAGACTGACACGTAAGCATAAGGTGGGCAAACACAGAATTATCTGCAAACCAAGGGTAAAAGTCGTAATTTTTGTAGGCCCAAGCTTTTTCCTTTTTATTTTCATTTTCATTTTACCCTTTTTACTTGAATTTACTAGTCACATTCATCCAAACTCCAAAATCAAACCCTCAGTCCGCCGCACCTTTTTTTATTATATATTTTTTAGTCTGGTGGTAGTAATAATTTATTTGAATTATTTAGTTGTAGTTTATATTTACTAGAAGTAATTTCTGTTGATTTTACCGTGAAGAGAAAAGGATGGAGCTTCTAACCGGCGGCCGGGAAGCTTTCCCTCAACACGTGGAGCCTTTTCCTGATTTAACGGCAATGATTGAATCGACAGACGACATGATGATGGGTGATCACCGGCCGAATCTGCCGCCTCAGAAGCTGCGTCCGATTAGGTACAACGGCAGGTCACCGGCGAGCTCACAGGCGGAGGATCCCTTAGAGTTCGTTGAGGCAGTTGAACTCGTAAGTGATGATGTCTGCGCTGTAAATGGAAAGTCCTTTGACTACTTGATACCTCCTATTAAAGCCGAAGTTAGCGACGTGATCGGTACTGTCGGCGGCGGCGGCGGTGGGTTAGAGGAGCCGCCAAGCTCGGAGCAAAGAGAAGAGCCTTCAGGGTACGTACGTATGTTTATTGCTTCTTCCACTACATGACTTTATTGTGGTTAAAAGCTATCGACTTTATTTCATGTATGTACGTATGTATCCTAACCATACAAGAAAGAATTTATATTTATTCATGTAGTATACTAATTTATTAATATAGCATCCACTGACACGTTGGAATACACATCCATCCATCAGAAAAGAAGTAATATACTCCCACTGCTGATTCAATTGGGTTAGGTAGATTTTTTTTAAAATTAATAGAATTATCCTACCAAAAAAATTAAGTGTAAAGTATAGTAATGGTCACTAAACTTTTCTAAAATTTTCAATTAGGTCCCTTAATTTTTAAAACTTGCAATACAATCTCCTAATATTTAGTTCGTTTGCTATATCGTCCCCCAACATTTAGTTTGTTTGCAATATGGTCCCCGAAGTAACTGTTGGGGGACCATATTGCAAATGAACTGAATGTTGGGGAACTGTATTGTAAGTTTTAAAAGTTGGGGGATCTAAATGAAAGCTTTAGAAAAATTCACTGATCATTACTATACTTTACCCTTAATAAAATAAATAAAATAAAATACCAAGATTGCCCTCTTATCTCTTCCCCCAATCTCACCTTCATCGTACCCCCACCCCTTTCCCTAGCCCCAACACCATTGTTTCCAAGCGATAGCACTGAAAAGAAGAGAGAAAGAGATGAGATTGTTAACTCACAACATGTTATCGTTGAACATCAAAGGGTAACCAATGGTTTTCCTCTGAGGATCCAAGTGGAGAAAGTGGTGGAGAAGGAAGTCGAAATCAATCACGATTTCCTCAGGAACATATTTCCAAAGATCGATTCAATGCTTCATGAATCATGGGGTACCATGAGCTCCCGAAAGAACCGCCGGAGCTGTCGGTGTTGGTGTCGGACATTGAGTTTTTGAGGAAGTTTCATCATGCCCTCTTAGAGCTCCATCTCGAGGAAGGTGCGCTTCTTTGCCCCGAGACCGTTCGAAAGTTTCAGGTTAATAAGGGAATTCCGAATATGCTTTTACTTGAGGATGAGGTTTGAGAAAATGGTTTAGTGTTTGATACAGTTGGGTTTTGGGGTTATGAGTTTTAATTAGGATTTCACCTCTCTCATTTTGTGCTGATGTGCATGAATTTTTAGTCATTATATGGAATTTGTTGTCTTAACTAATGAAAACAACATGAGTTTGACAAATTGAAGATCTGAAAACAAACCACTGCATTTCCTTTAAAAAGAAAACCATTGTTAAGCTCCAAGTTGGGTAAGTGTTTGCATTTTTCATTCATTTTCTTCATTGAAGGTTTTTCTTAACCTTTGTTTGTTTACTTGGAAAATCTCGTAGAAAGCTTCGATTTTTATTGCTTTTTATATTTCAAATTTGTGTTCTTCGAAGCTAATTTATGAGAATTATATCTTTAAGCTCCAAGTTGTATTTTTAGGGTAAAAATGCAACCTTTTTTAATCAATCTTTGCCTTATCATTGAAGATTTTGAGCTTCAAACTGTGGGCTTGGAGAAAGGAAACATGTATGTGTTGGGGGTTAGGGAAAGGGGTGGTGTTACGGTGAAGTTGGGTTGGGGAAGAGAGAAGGGTAATTTTGATATTTTATTGATTTTTTTATTAATTATTTTTAGGGTAAAGTATAATAATGGTCGCTAAACTTTTCTAAATCTTTCATTTAGGTCTCTAACTTTTAAAACTTGCAATACAGTCTCCCAACATTTAGTCTATTTGCAATATGGTCCCCCAACATTTAGTCTGTTTGCAATATGGCCCCCAAGTAACTGTTGGGGCACCATATTGCAAACAGACTAAATGTTGTGAGACTGTATTGCAAGTTTTAAAAGTTGGGGGACTTAAATGAAAGCTTTAAAAAAGTTTAGTGACCATTATTATACTTTACTCAAAAACTAATTAGCTGGTGCATCTTAGCATTATCTCATTGTTATCCTAAGAGACACCAGGTGCCTCGTAGCCAGGGACAGACTGAGAATTTTATGTTAAAAGGTGAACCTCTAAAATTTTAGGAGAGAATGGTCTGGACGGATTTATAAAATTTTCAGGAGGCGAAAATATATTTTCAATATAGATAGAAAAAATATAAAATATACGGTAATTTTAAATTTATAGGTACATTCATGTCCGTAGCTTTTTACGACTGAGCTTCCACAAAGTTGATGCTTTTAAAAGGGATTCTCATTCAATCCAACATCAGCAAACATGATTTTAAGGTAAGGCCTCAAAGATTTTTTAAACTTTCTTGCATGGAGCAAAATTTTCAAACAAATTATTGCACTTTAATACCTTTCAAACAGTTAGACATCCTTTGCACCATGGTAGATGGTGCAATCCCATAACAGAAAAATGGTTTTGAATAGGCAACTAAAGGCATAAATGCTCCAAAAAAAATCAGAAACTACAGATTTTTTCTGTTTTTTGATTTAGACAGATCCGTAGATGCAAGAAAATATAGAATTTACTAGAGACAAACTTCCCAAAGCCCTTAAAGCAACTAGGTAGCTTAGGATAAAAAGCAAGTTCATCATAGATGGTTGAAAAGGAAGTGAAGATGAAAAAAACATGCACATGATGTTAAAGAACACGAAATATCATTTCCAATTTGATTTACTTTACTGCCTGCTCAAGAAAAAATTTCCCGGGTTTCTTCTGCCTAAGGGTGTGTAAGTCTCCACCAGGGCAAAATTCCATTACTCTCTCTTCTATTTTTCTCACCCAACTTTTAATTTTTCTATTTTGTTCACTGAAATTTACAAATTGAATCATTTTGATCACTTCTCCGTTTTCTCTCTAACGACTAATGACATAGCATTTGTTTTATTATTTAATATAAAATAATTTAAAAAACCATAATGTAACACCCCAACCCGTACCCGACCCGAATACGAGTCCGAGATGTCACATTGACTTTTAAAAACGATTTCCTTTCAAAATAATCGAGCATTTTAATTTGTATTAAGAAAATACGACCATATACGGTTCACTTGTGCTTGTTATAAAATTTTGAGTTCAAAAATACGTATTCGTGAACAGTAAAAATATGGTATGAATAGTGAATAGTGAATAGTGCGATGAACAGTGTGGGTATCGATTCCCTGTAGCAGGGAATCGATTCCCCTTTAAGATACTGGAAAATTTTGTTCAAACTCGCGGTTACTGTTCATGCTACAGTAACTGCTACAGTATTTTCCGAAATTTACATATTAACTTATAAAAATTAACCTTTCATCACTATAAAAATTCCCATCTATGTTTCCAAATTTATTTAACAAAATAAATTGAATATTATTAATTACATATACTCATTAAAACATTACAAAACTCATTCGTATGACTTTTCAAAACCGATTAAAACTTATCAGATTTGATCATTTATTTACATGCCAACCACTATCGTTATTACAAAATACACATTATACATTTCTTTTCTGATCTGATCCATGGAAAGGAGAAACTGACCTGTTTTGAGTAACTTTTATCAACCGTCATCTTCTCGTAACCTACGCGTGAAACATTCACACGCTAAGTCGTTGACTTAGTGAGGCATATAAAACATAATTATATGTTAACTGTAACTTCCACAATGCATGAACATTTGATATTACCTTATCATACCAAAGCATATAATGTAAACTATAAATCATGCCATTGCATAAACAATTTCCAATCTCATATGACAAATACATTCCACTTAGGGAAACATACAATATCACATATGAATCTTGTA